AAAAAAGTATTACTCCCTTCGTTCTTATTTATATTCACCAAATGAATTTCTACTTTATCATTTATATTCACCAAATTTAAAGTAATAATAAATTTTATATTGGTGAGAATAATAAATTTTAAAAAGTAATGATGTGATTATAAATTTTATTTACATATGAAACAAATAGTTAGTAGATATAAATGTGGGGTTGTTTTAACAAAATATAAACTCATGGATCAATTATTGTATTAAAATATCTCAAATCATGATATGGAATCACATGGTGATTCCATATCATGGTTTTTGGAGAATATGGTATCACCTCTCATGATATGGAATCATGAGATGGAATTAGCGTAAAATCGCATGTCCAAACGTTGATTCCATCTCACGACACCATATCGTGATATGGTATCGCATGGCCAAACGCCTACTTAATGTGAGACCAAAATAACACAACAATCCCGGAATAAACTATTCCTTCTGTCCCTTTTTACTTGTCCAATTATTCCTTTTTACTTGTCATTTTGACAAATCAAGAAAGAACAATTTTTTTACTCATTATACCCTCAATTTATTAACGTTAAGTTAATGTCTTTGAAAAATGTAGTGAGTAAAGATATTTGGTATCCTATCAATTAATAGGGGTAAAATAGTAAATTCATTGTAGCAATCAATATTTTCTTAATTGATGTGTCAAATCAAAATTTGACAAGTAAAAAGGAACAAAGGAAATGTCCCGCAATTTGTTTTCCAACTAAATATGTAATAAACTTATCCTAAAACTAACAATCAAGTTTATATTCAACAAATTAATTGAATAAATACTCAAAATAAAACATTAGTAATAGTTCAAACTAAACTAGATGAAGAAATTTACATAAATGAAGCTAGTGCACTAACTAAGAAACTATATTCCCATATACTCAGGGGTGAATTTATGTATAAATTTTGGGTCACCGGAACCCGTGGTCATCCGACTAAACTCGGTATATTACTTCTATAATTATTAAAGAATATATTAAATTAAAACTTGTGGAACCCATTCTCAAGATTACTGGATGGTTCTCTAGTACGACTGCAAGATTTCAACACAAAGGTCACAGGTTCGATCCCAGGCAGCCCCAATTTGCTTCAATTTATTTTTATTAACTAAAAACACGTTTTTCATTAAAAAAGAAAAGCTAAATTCTGAAAGTTCTAAAGTCAAAGACTTCAAAAGTTTCCTTCCCATCCACTTTCCAAGTTCCAACAATATCTTTCTTCTCTCTTCAAATTTGTTTTTTATTTTCCACACAAATAAAAAGCTTTAAGTCTTCAACTTCAAGTCAAGAATCTAGAGAAATCATCATTGTCAAAGTTTAAGGTAATTTTAGTTTATGATTTCTCTTTTTAATAACAAAAAATCATCAATAGCTAAAGAATTGATTATCTCAAACTTACATATTTTGCGGATGTAACTTGTAAGGAATGTGTTTCATATTATATTATCAATTTTGAAGGGTGTGATTCCCTTTTTTTAATGTGAAAGGGTGTGATTCCCTTATTGTTTTAATGTGAAAGGGGTGTGATTCCCTTATTTCTTTTAAATGTGAAAGGGGTGTGATTCCTCTTCTTTCTATGAATATGTGATTTCGAATGCAAAAGAGGCATAAGTCCTCTTTTTATTATGAATGTGTGATTTTCTTATTGTTAAATGTGAAAGGGGTGTGATTCCTCTATTTTAGTTAGATTTGCAAGGATTGTGATTCATCTATTTTATTTGAACTTGCAAGGGTGTGATTCCCTTATTTTGTATTGTGAAAGATATGCGATTCTCTTATTTTATTTTAAATTTGCTAGTTAAATTTGTGACTAAGTTGAATAGTTATTTGAATTTGTAGGAACATTTATCCTTGAATATCTAAATGGATAATTTTTTGATTAAGCAACCACGTTCTAGTAGCGGTCCATCTATTAGTTCACATGTAGCTCCAAAAGCTCAAAGAGAGATAATTACACCTTCTTCTTCAAATGTTGATTGTATTCTTGGGGTTGGATCTCTCAAACGGGATCCCGGAGAAAGAAAACCCATCTTTGAATATGATCATAATTATATTCGAGATGTTGTGAGGAGACATTATATTTTGATGGGGCCTTATCAACCAAAACTTCGTGTATATCCTAAAACAACATTTGGGACTAGGAATCGGCAATTTAATCCTGAGTTTGTTTAATGCTCCAAATTCTGCTTGGTTGGAATATAGCATAGATGCTGATGCTATATTTTGTTTGTGTTGTTATCTCTTCAAGAATGAATTTGAAAGTCGTGGTAATGTGGGAAAATCATTTACACAAGATGGTTTTAAGAATTGAAACCATGGTCCGGAAAGAATTCGATTGCATGTTGGTGAGGTGAATAGTATTCATAACAAATGTTTGAATAAGATGCTTGATTTTGCGAATCAACGTCAATCAATTCAATCTTTTCTTCACAAGCAAAGTGAAAAAACAAAAATGATTATCGAATTTATTTAAATGCCTCAATCGATGTGGTAAGGTTTCTCCTAAGAAATGGATTGTCATTTCGTGGTCATAATGAGAGTGAAGATTCCGATTACAAAGGTCTTTTTCTTGAACTTTTGAAATTTCATGGGGTTAATCGTTCGGATGTGGAAAAGGTGATATTACAACATGCTCCAAAAAATGATATGATGATTTGTTCAACAATTCGAAAAGAGACTGTGGATGCTTGTACTAAAGAAACAATTAAAGCTATCATCAAAGACTTGGGTGGTGATTATTTTGAAATACTAGTTGATGAATCAAAGGACATTTCACATAAAGAGCAAATGGCACTAGTTTTATGATATGTTAACAAAAATGGAGAGTTGATAGAAAGCTTTTTGGGTATTGTTCATGTGGGTGATACATCCGCAAGATCATTGCAAAAAGTATTTACTCTTTACTTTTGGATCACTCGTTATGCCTATCAAGACTCAGTGGACAAGGTTATGATGGAGCTAGTAATATGCAAGGAGAAAAAAATAGCCTAAAGTCTTTGATTTTGCACGATGCTCCGTCTACATATTATATTCATTGTTTTGCTCACCAATTGCAATTGACACTTGTGGCTCTCTCTAAAAAACATCCGGATGTGAAAATTTTCTTTTATGTTGTCACTAATGTTTTGAATACTATTGGGACATCTTTTAAACACAGGGACTTACTTCGACAACACCAAGTTGAGAAGTTGGAAGAATTGCTTAAATTTGGAGAAATTCTTACCGAACAAGGATTAAATCAAGAACATGGCCTCCAACGATCGGGTGATACTCGTTGGGGATCCCATTTCAAGACTTTGGAAAATTTCATGATTATATTTTCTTCAATTGCTAATGTGCTTAAAGATATGAAAGAAGATTCTCCACATGATCTTGATAAACTTGTGACAGGTAACCTTTTAGAGATAAAATTCAAGAATTTGAATTTATCTTTGTGTTGCATTTGATGTTCAAGATGTTGCTTCTTACAAATGAATTGAACAAAGCTTTACAAAAGAAAGATCAAGATACTGTCAATGCTATGGTATTTCTTAATCTTTCAAAGAGAAGAATACAAACAATGAGAGAGAGTGGTTTGGAGTCTTTGATGGATGAGGTTTCTTCATTTTGTGGTAAACATGATATTTTAGTTCCCGAAATGACTGAACACTATCCAAGATAAAAGCGTAAGAAGTCCGAAATTTCATATTTACATCACTTTTGTGCGGAAGTATTTTATGCAGTTATTGATTTGCAACTTCAGGAGCTCAATAATCGTTTTTATGTTATGACTAGTGACTTACTCCTTGGTATGGCTAGTTTGAATCCGGTTGATTCATTTGCTAATTTTAGTAAGAGCAGAATAATGAAGTTGGCCGAATATTATAAAAGTGAGTTTGGTGATAATGAACTTCGAGATCTCAGTTATCAGTTTGATAGTTTCATTGTCTATGCTCGAGAGTGTGATAGCAAGTTTCTCAACTTGAAGGGGATTAAAGATCTTGCTACGATGATGGCACAAACAGAATTGGATCAAACTTGGTCTCTTGTTTATTTACTTGTAAAGTTGACTTTGATTTTGCTTGTTGCTACGACAAGTGTGGAAAGAGCATTCTCCTCAATGAAGCTCATCAAAAATGATCTACGTAATAGCATTGGTGAAGAATTTTTGAATGGATGTTTAGTTTGTAAGATAGAGCGGAAGATATTTGAAAATGTAAGTAATGATGTTATTATAGATCGTTTTCAAAATATGAAGTCTCGTCGAGTACAATTATAAACTGATGATATTTTTTGTGGTAATGTAATTTTTATGTATTGCTCGCTTAGTTATTGTTATTATAATTTTTTTGATCTTATCTTTAAAGCAATGGTGCACCCGTTTTCTTGAAATCCTGGATTCGCCTCTGCATATACTCCCTCTGTCCCATATTATAAGTCACCCCTTTCTAAAATTAGCTGGACCATAATATATGTCATTTTATAAAATTTATGCCTAAATTACCATATTTTGCCCATTATACCCTTGATTGATTAATTAATTAATCTTGAAAATGTATTTACTTTGACTAACCTAGGAAATCTACAAGTAATTAGTTTCATTGGGAGAGTACTTCATTCATTAATTAACTACTTTCTTTATTCACTACTTATTCTATAAAATCTGATTTTGAAAAAAAATATCAACAAACAAATTAAAAATAAAAGATGAAAACAAATTCAAAAATAATCTTGAAAGTTGAAGCTTCAACAAATTTTATCAAGGAAGATGACATTTCAAAAAGTTCAAAGGATGTAAAAATAGAAGACTCAACCAAAACATGTGAAGGCCAAATTGAGAAAAATCAAGATCCAAATAAAGGAGTTATGCACCATTTAAATAAAAAAACAAAT